CCACCCAGGCGCCCGAGCTTTAAATTATTTTAAATTCCTGCCTGTTTCATCAAATTAATATTGAAGACTCCAACACCTTCTGGTTATTTTAAAGGTATAATTAATTGTCTTCTAAATTTACTTTATTTTACTGATTTCCAGAATTGTATAACCATTGTTTTTTTTTTCTCCAGCCATTTCATGTTATTTTCCTAGGCATCTGATTTGACGTTTGAAGTATTGTGTGGTTTCGATTAACAGGAGGATCGACTTTTTGTGGCATCGCGTCACTGTGTCTGATGGGTAAACTAGAAGAAGTTTTTTCAGAAAAAGAATTGAACCGGATAAAAAGGTGGTGTATAATGAGGCAACAAAATGGTTACCATGGAAGACCTAATAAGCCCGTAGACACCTGTTACTCTTTTTGGGTAGGAGCAACTCTAAAGGTAAGAGAAAGAATAAAATTGAGAAACCTATACTCTGTGTTGATACAAACTGTGCTTTAAAAGTTTTGGTCTTTGTAATGGTCACTAAATACCATTAAATTTAGGCTGCCGAGTTTTTTCTCTTGCTCCGGCAAAGCTCATCTCTGTACGGTTTTTCTATAGAATTCAGGTATCTGTTGTGCTGCTTGAAAATTGCCATTCTTATAAAACTTAAGTGGCCCAGAACATAGATGAGAAAGGATAAGGTATAAGGTATAAAGGTTGTAAAAATCTTGTTACCAAAACTGACGGACCGGTAGTCTGTCTGGAGCAGGGATCTGTCTGAACATGGTAGCAGTAAAGGCTTTATGGGAAGTTACGAATCTTAAAAGATAAACCATGGGTCATTCCCTTGAAAACAGTTTGTGGTTTTTAATTTTTTATTGATTTATTTGCCTAACCCTTCTGAATAACTTACTGATTGACACTTTTGCACATTTCTCTCCATTTGTTACCTTTTTGACATGCCTAATTTCATAAGCTTATTAACCACTAAATACCCTCAAGTTTGCTCTGTCTTAAAATTGCCTTTCCCCTTTAAAATGTTTCACCTAATTCTGATATTCTGAAATCTAACAAAAGTCCGTGTTCATCTTTTATATAATATCCTAATTTTTTCTCTTAAATTCTGAAATGCTGAAAACAGAATGATTAACATGAAGGCAGTATATCTCCCTCTCTCCCCTCACTCCTAGTGCCATTCCTCGGGTGTACCGCTTTAATATTTTTTTAATTATGGAAAATTCCAGACATATTCTGAAGTAGAATAGTGTAATGAACCCCTGTAAGTCCACAGCTGGACGCATCAGCTTTTATCCCAAAGCCAGCCCCAGTCTTATCCATATTCCAACCCCTTGCCCTTCGCCTCACTGTATTATGTGAGGGCAGATCCCAGATAACATTTTTTATATTATCTGGAAATTTTTCAATATAGTTCCTAACCAAAAATAACTTTCTAAGTAACAGAACTGTAGTGTCATTGTCACATCTGAAAAAGCCCTAATACCCTTTAGGTATCTAGTCATTGACTATGTATATTTCCTTTTGCATCACATCAAGAAGCACATAATCTTTGGTCATCTCCTTTTGATCAAAGGGCTCCAGAGCCGTCAGACCGGATTTATCCTCTACAAAGTCCCCCATCAGCTTTTTATTTTATGATGGCAAAATATACATAATATAATATTTATTAGTTTAACTATTTGTAAATATATAATTCAGTGGTATTAATTACATTCACAATGTTCTATAACCCTCACCAGTATGTATACCCAAAACTTTCATTATCCGCAGTATATACTCTGTACTCATTACCATTCTCCTCTCCCACTGGCCCTGGGTCATCTCTCTTCTCTCTGTCTTTATGAATTTGCCTATTCTTGGTACATCACATAAGTGGAATCACACAATATGTGTCCTTCTATGTCTGGCTTATTTTGCTTAGCATAATACTTTCAAGGTCCAGGATGTGAGGGCGATCTGGCTGCGACATCTGTCACCCCATTGATCGCCAGGGTTGATTCGGCTGATCTGGCTGGCTAGGCGGGTGTCCCCTTCCTCCCTCACTGCTCCATGTGCGTCCCTCCCGAAGCTGCGCGCTCGGTCGAAGAGGACGACCTTCCCCGATAGAGGAGGACCGTTCTTCGGTCAAGGGTATACGAGTAGCTGCGCTCCCCTGCTAGAACCTCCAAACAAGCTCTCTCAAGGTCCATCCATGTTGTAGCATATATCAAAATTTCGTTCCTTTTTATGGCTGAGTAATATGCTGTTGTATGTTTATATCACATTTTGTTTACCCATTTATCCGCTGATGGACACTTGGGTTATTTCCATGTTTTAGCTGTTGGGAATAAGGCAACTCTGAACATAGATGTACAAATGACTGAGTTTATGTTTTCATTTCTTTTGTGTATTTACCTAGGAGTGGAATTGCTGGATCATATGGTAGTTCTCTGTTGAACTTTGTGAGGTACCGCCATGCTTTCCACAATGAGGGTGTGCATCATTTTACATTCCTGCTAGCAGCATACCAGGGTTCCAGTTTCTCTATACCCTCAATAACACTTGATTTTTCTGTTTGGTTTTGGTTTTTATAATAGCCATCCCAGTGGGTGTGAAGTGCTGTCTCATTGTGGTTTTGATTTGCATTTTCCTAATGATTAGTGATATTGAGCATCTTCTGATGTGCTCATTGGCCATTTCTGTATCTTCTTTGGAGAAGTGTCAATTCAGGTCCTTCACCCATTTTTTAATCATGTTTTTTGTTCTCAAGTGTTTGGGATATTAATCCCTTATCAAGATATATGGTATGCAGATAATTTTTTCCCATTCTATGGTTGCCTTTCACTCTGTTGGTAATGTCCTTTGATGTACAAAAGTTTTTAATTGTGATCAAGTCCAGTTTATCTGTTTTTCATGAAATCATTGCCAAAGCCAATGTCATAAGGATTTTCCCCGGTATTTTCTTCCAACAATTTTTGTAGTTTTAGCCCTTGAATTTAGGTCTTTGATTCATTTTGAGTTAATTTTTATATATGGCATAAACTAAGGGTTCAACTTCATTATTTTGCATGTGGATATCCTGCTTTCCCAGGTTCGTTTGTTGAAAAGCTGTTCTTTGCTCCATTAAATGGCCTTGGCCCTTTGTGGAAAATCAACTGAACACATACATGTGGGTTGGTTTGTTTGTTTTATGGGCTCTCTATTCTGTCCCATTAGTCCATGTGTCTCTCCCTATGCCAGTACCGTACTGTTTTAATCCCTACAGCTTTTGTAGTAAGTTTCCGAGCCAGGAAGTGTGAGTCCAACTTTGTTCTTTTTCATCATTGTTGGGGCTGTTTGGGCCCCTTGCAGTTTCATAGGAATTTGAAAATTGGTTTTTCCAATTTTTACAAAAAAGGCTATTGCATTGAATCTGAAGATCACTTTGGGTAGTATTGACTTTTAATAGCTTAAGTTCTCCTACAGTGAGCATGGGATGTCTTTTCATTTATTTAGATCTTTAATTTCTTTCAGCAGTATTTTGTAGTTTTCAGCATACACGTCTCTCACGTCCTTGATCAGATTTATTCCTAAATATTTAATTATTTTATACGCTGTTTTAAGTGGAATTGCTTTCTAATTTCTTTTTGGATTGTGTGTTGCTGTTGTATAAAAACCTCATTGGTTTTTTTTTACAGAATCGTTTTAGCAGCCACTGAGGTTAACGTATGTTTTAATCCATTATACTGTTCTTTTTGATGCTCAAAACATCCCATTTTTAGCCAGAGATCATTCAAGTAGGCTCTTGAGTCTTTTCGATATGACCTTGGTAGTCTTTGACAATTTTCTGAAAGCAACCATTTTTAAACATTTTAAAGATTCTTAATTCTTACGAATATCACAAGTAACTGATTTTTTTTATTTTTAGAAATATTTTCCTGTTTTATTTTTTTAAGTAAGTTTTCCACCCACTGTCAGGCATGAACTCATGATACTGAGATCAAGAGTCACATGCTCTACTGACTAAGCCCACCAGGCACCCCAACTTTAAATGATATCTTAATTTCTCTTTAGACATTATCTTTCATTCCCAACTATGAAGAATGAAGATTTAGCCTCCCTTTTTTCAAGCAGATTATTACTGGTTATATATTTTTTAGTCCTGAAACTTTTCCTCTTGCACCTTCTAATTCTGTCATATTACCTTTACTTTTATAATGTCGAGTTAAGTAACATTCATATTTTATTTAGTAACAGTATTCACATATTTTATGCTTTGCTTGTAGGTTGATTCTAAAATTTAAAAACCGAGAATCAGCACTTACTGTGATCATGTAAATATTGTTTATTGCTGAACCAAGTACATCTTAAGATTATAGTTTCTCCTTATGTAATGACCCATCAGACACTTGATGGAAAATGTTTCTAGCTGATGGATTCTAATGAGTCTCTTTCCTTTTTATTGTATTGACTAAATTAAAATGAATGAATGTGTTTCTTATTTGTATAATTCTTTTAGGCTTTGTTTCTCTTTTTGAGAAATAATGGTTCTTTAATCACTCATATCTTCTATGGCTCTTTGATTCATTAACATACTTTCAACTGCTTTGTGTCTTAACAGAAATTTTTTGAACTGTCTTGTCTACTGCTCCACCCTCCCCAACACCCTTTCATAGTTTGAGTTATTCTTTATTTTTTCTATTTAATGGGATCTTGAGAGAGAGAATAAACATATGTTCTAAATCTTAAAGCTACATAGTTTTTTATGCTAAAAGTATACTTGTCTCACCTTTTACCTTTCCTGATTAAAAAGCTACAATTTTTTTACTAGTCTCAAAACTGTCATCTGGTTAATAATTTTTGTTGTTTTTTTTTTAAATATTTTTGGTTCAAGTTACTAACAGTTTGTAAGTAATAGTTCAAAAGCCTATAATAAGAATTAGAATATAGATAGATAAAATTGATAAAATAAAAGATAAAATTGTCCTTTTTAAAAATGAGTGATTAAGTTGAACAGATTGGCAGAGTTGTGTTTTGAACCTAGCTAAATGTGATGCAAAGAGATTAGTTGGGCGTGGTTCAGAAGAGGGAAGTAGTGAGTAGGTCAAGGAAAGGAGAGTAGTTGTGATCAGATGACAAAAATGATAATAATGTGGTTGACTGATTCTAAGTGCTCAGGTCTCCAGAGGCTTGCTTTGAGAGCCTTAGCTACAGAAAAGCATATTTAATTGATGTATATCTGAAAATTGAGCCAAAGGTCAATATGAAAGTTTGATGTCAGTAAATTTATATTTGTCCTGTCATTTCAGCTTCTGAAAATTTTTCAATACACCAACTTTGAGAAAAATAGAAATTACATCTTATCAACTCAAGATCGCCTAGTAGGGGGATTTGCCAAGTGGCCAGATAGTCATCCAGGTAATTTATTTTTTGTATGAATCTAGAACAACTCTATTTCTTGAGTAGACCCTCAGGCATCTTTGTCAGAAAGGGCATAAGAGAAAATTCAGCTACAGTTGTAAACTTAATATGTTTTTTAAAAAGGTAAATTGTTTAAGTTTAGGGGAAATTTAGCATGTTGAGGGGTATAAAGGAAGGGTTGGATTATCAAGATGTATTGCTATAGTATGCCTTGTTTTCCATATATTTCACTTACCAGTGTTTTATTTCATTTGAGGCAGTGAGGCAGATGGTCTCAATGGGCCCTGTCCAAAATAGAGAATCATTTGGTCCATCCAGAATCTTTAGGATTATTAGCTGTCGCTAGAGCCAAGTAGAATGAATTACCACGTCCAGAAGGGACCTATTCTTACTCTGTTCAGAAGCCATTACATCAAATATCTCTAATTCTGAAGGTAGCTGTCCCTCACTGTCCATACCCTTGTTCTCTGAATTTCATCAGATTCAGGTTAATTTTTTTAGATGGGTACTTTGCTATCTGAACTCTTAACACTCACTGTCTAAAACTCAGGAGCCAAATAGATTCAGACAATGTGCTTTTTCATTGTTTTCCAAACTCAGGAGTGGCAGAGAAGTAAAGAACAAAAGATTCTTGGATTTAATAAGTACAGTCGATCCTTGAACCACACAGGTTTGAACTGTGCCTGCCCACTTGTAAATGGATTTTTTCGATAAATATTGTATTGTACTGTAAATGTATTTTCTCCTCTTTAATGCTTTTAATTTCTAAAGCCAAAGAATATTTTTTCTAGTTTTATTGAGAAATCATTGACCCTACATCACTGTGTAAGTTGAAGGCATACAGCGTGATGGTTTGGTGCACATCTATAATGAAATGACTGCCAGAGTAGGCTCAGCTAGCACCCACCTTCTCATAGAGATACAGAAGAAAAGAAGATGGTAAAGGGCAAACAATTTATGTTTGTGATGAGCGGTCTTAGGGTTAACTGTCTGAACACGTTTCCTGTATGTCGTACAGCAGGGTGAGCTGAAGTCCTTGTGTTGTGTGTTACATCCCCAGTATGTACTTATTAGTGGCAGTTTGTTCCTTTTGACCCCCTTCTTCCAATTCCCCCTCCCCTGCCCACCCCTGCCCCTCCTAAGCACAGGTCCAATCTCTTTTTTTCTATGAGTTTGGTTTTTTGTTTTTGTTTTTTAGATTCCACATGTAAGTGAGATCACACAGTATTTGTCTTTGCCTGACTTATTTCACTTAGCATTACACCTTCAAGGTCCATCCATGTTGTTGCAAATAGTAGGATTTCCTCATCTTTATGGCCGAATCATGTTCCATTGTGTATGCAGATACCACAGATTCTTTATCCATTCATCCATCCATCGGTGGACATTTAGGTTGTGTCTGTATCTTGGCTATTGTACATAATTCTGTGAACATGGAGGTATAGATACCAAGGTAGTGTTTTCGTTTCCTTTGGGGATATTACTGGATCGTATGGTAGTTCCATTTTTAATTTTTTGAGGCTTCTCCATACTTTTTTCCATAAGGGCTGTGCCAGTTTACATTCCCACCAGCCGTGTACAAGGGTTCCCTTTTCCACTTACACGCCGGCGTTTGTTATTGCTTATTCTTTTGATTATGGCCATTCTAGCAAGAGTGACATAGTATCTCACTATGGCTTTAATTTGCATTTCCCTCATGGTTATTGATGTCAAGCATCTTTTCATGCACTGGTTGGCCTTTTGTATATCTTCTTTGGAGAAAGAGCTATTCATATCCTTTGCCCCTTTTTCAGTTGGGTTACTTGTTGTTGTTTTTTCTGTTGAGTTGTTGGAGTTCTTTCTGGTTTTTTTTTTATGTTCTAATTTCTAAAGCAAAATAATATTTTTAAATTTTGGTATGTGTAACCATAGCTATAAATGTTAGAGCAGTACTGCAAGAAAACTGAGAATTGTCTTGATGACATTATTTTTCATCAGAGCTTGTACTATTTTAACAAATGTACATTTTAACAAATGGGAATAGGGAAATGACAATATCTTGGAAAGCATGTCTGGCATAAACATACTTGAAATACATTTTGAGTATTTACAGTAGATTTTTTTTTTAAGATCTATTTATTTGCCTTAGTGAGCAAGCGTGAATGGGGGGAGGGCAGAGGGAGAGAATCTTCAAGCAGACTCCCCGCTGAGTGTGGAGCTCGCCAGGGGCTCGATCTCACAACCCCTGAGACTATGACCTGAGCCAAAATCGAGAGTCGGATGCTTAACCAACTGAGCCACCCAGGCGCCCCAGAATAGATTTTTTTTTTTTAATTCTTGAAGGTATTTTCTAGCACTTATTTGCTAACTTTAATATTTGGGTAAATACTTGGATATAATACTTTTTACAGATATGGTAAAATGTCTTCAGAACCTGTAAACTGCAGAGCATAGAAAATCTGTGTATCATAAATTGAATTTATGTGGAAAGACCTGTTTAATAGGGCCTTTGGGAAAATCATTTTTTAAGAGTCTTTAAAATTAGGGGCACCTGGGTGGCTCAGTTGGTTAAGCGACTGCCTTCGGCTCAGGTCATGATCCTGGAGTCCCTGGATCGAGTCTCGCATCGGGCTCCCTGCTCAGCGAGGAGCCTGCTTCTCCCTCTAACCCTCCCCCCCTCTCATGTACTCTCTCTCTCAAATAAATAAATCTTTAAAAAAAAAAAAAAAAAGTCTTTAAAATTAGCATATTCTTGGTTCTAGTTAATTTAGTAGCAGATTTGACACAAAGCATTTTTATATACATTTACAGAAGAAACTTAAGAAACTAATGAACTTTTATTATGAAGAAACTATATATTTCAGCATTTGATATGCTTGAATATACCTACAGATAAGTTTTTTAAAAAAGCTTTGAGCTTTGAAACAATTAAGTTCTGGTTCATTGACTTTTACAGAAAGCTTTCTGAGAAAAAAATGTTTTATTTTTCCATTACGTGGAAAGTAGAAGATCCTATTTTATGTTATCCTGGATGGATTTTATTTCTCTTTCAGTTGCATTTTTTCCTAGAAAAGTTTCCTAATTTCTAGTCAATAAAATATAATGTTGGTTTGTGCCTTCTGTAATTTTAGAATAACTACAAGGAAAATTTCATAGTACAGGGGAAATTAAATTTATTTTTTGTGGTCTGAAAATGAGAGAAAAGTGAGCCAGAAGAAACCTAAGCATTCTCTTGAGAAGACATGAAAGGAGATTGACATGGGCCTCCACTAGTGAGATAACATTTTCAGAAATAATCTTGAGTAAGCACAACTATCTGTCCCTCTGTTTTGAAAAGTAGTTGATACTCATGTAAGTAAAACTTTCTAATACTTCTGACAAAGTTTGAGTCGGTAAGGTGTTCTGAACTTCAGTAGCTCTTGAGGCCATAAATGATGGCCAGTACAGAAATAGGAAAAATGCCTGATGGCTACAAAATCTGTTTTTTTGTAGTATGCGCATAACTGCAGATCTCTGAGCTCTTCAGAGTCCGTATAAGGCTGTCCAGCAGGCAACAGCCATGTGATTCCTGTGGCCACTTGAATGGAAGAGGGTCGCTGCCCCCAAAAGACGGGAAATAGTAGGGAGGCCAGTATAGAAGAAAGGTTATGGTATTTATAGCCACAGAGAATGTGAGTTTGTTTTTACTGTCAGGTCAGACATTTTTTGGATGATTGACATTCCCCTAAATAGGAAAACTAAATTTGGTACAGCATTCCACAGCGTATTATTCTGTTTAGGCATCTTTCACTGAACACAGTACTGTGGTAGTATTGGTTACGGAAATGTCAGAGGTAAAACTTAGTGGGGAGGGGTATTGCTACTTAGAGTCAGAGGTTTATTTTCATTTTTCAGGAAAATTTTTCCTTTTATGATACAGAGCTAAAGCCCCTTATTTCTGTATTCTGTGGGAAGCAAAGGGGAAACCCCCTAAGTGAGAGGTCTTGTATTACTGCTACTCTACTTTGTTTTTTTAATCACAGAGGCTGTTGGGAATGTCACCTTTTCATTTGAGAACTGTTTTCCTTTGTTAATGATATTTTCTTCGATAAAATACCTGATTTTGATCATCTGTTTTTTTTAATTGGTGTTTTGACAAAGACTTTTTGAGAAAGCACTGTTTCAAAACCTGTATTTAACATTTTTCTAAATTTAATTTTAATGTGCTGGACTAATAGATATGTAGCTATAGTACTTTGCAGCATGTACAAATAAGAATGCCTGTTATGATAAAAAAAAAAAAATACCTCGTTTTCAGATGCTTTGCATGCATACTTTGGGATCTGTGGCCTGTCACTAATGGAGGAAAGTGGAATTTGTAAAGTTCATCCTGCCCTGAATGTAAGCACACGGACTTCTGAACGCCTTCGAGATCTCCATCAGAGCTGGAAAACCAAGGACTCTAAACAGTGCCCAGAGAATGTGCACATCTCCACATGACTGACTTCACTTAGGTGGGGAGGGTGGGGGGATTTGTAGCATAACTGTAGCTCAAGGTTAAAAGCCATGTATAACCAATGTGCTCTTTTTTTAAGAGGTAGTCTCACAATCAAATCTCGTGCCGATGTCACTTTGGAATATGGTCTTGAGCCAGTAACCTTTGTACTGGGTTTCAAGAAAATCTTTGTTGAAGTCTGAACCACAGTGGACTCTGTTGTGGTTCTTAAATGTTTCTACTGTATTTCTAAGAAGTTCTTTGGGGCAAATTAACTATATGTATGTAGGTTATATTTTTAAAAAACTCTACGAATTGTATCATACTGTAAAATGGACACAAATCTTCAAAACAAGTTTACAGTTCACATAGCATCGATAATCCTTGGGTGAACACTTAGTGATCATTTAAAAAGCTTGATAGCTGATGGTAGGAAACTGCTTTAATGAATTAAGTATTTAAGATTCTTCTTTGAAAACAGATGATTCCATAATTTTTAAACAGAAGAATGACTTACTTTGTCTTATTAAGTGTGCCAGTTAAACTTATGAGGCCTACATAAATGAAATTAACTTCATAGCAAGGATGAATAGGCTTAACTAATACAGTAATTTTCTAAAGGGACATTGATTTAAGAAGACTATTATGTAATTGAGGGAAAAATAATTTAACTATGTGATTGTGAATGAGAAAGTTTTGTGCTGTGTGGGTCACTTATTTAGATGTTGTGAGGGTGAATAACAGTTGTGTTTGATTTTAATTTCATTAGTTGCTTTTTCTTCTTTCTGGGGAGAAAATAGTCATCTAGAAGGAAAGACATTGAGTGGTTTGGTTTATTTTTCTGAAATATGTGATACTGTAAATTGTACTTTTATAAGGGAGTTATTTTTAGCTATTGGGTTTTTTTTAGTTTGTTGCCTCCGGAGTGTGTTAGTGGTTCTGATTTCAAAATGACAATTTTCTAATTTTTTCAAAGTAAATAAGTAAAACTCTCAGTAAAAAACCAGAACCACTAAAGTAAATTTAATGGTGCAGCTCCATACATGGTCATTTATATTTTTATATTTTCAGGTAAGTGGAAGGGAAATGTTCTGTTTAGGGGTTAAAGACTGGGGTGTCGCTTTTGTTCTTCTTGTTTTGTTCATTCTGTGAACTAGCTAATTGTAAAGGAAATCGTGTAAAAACTCATCTTCATTAGTAACCAATTTATCAATAAATCACATCATCACTGTTGTTGGAATGACGTTCAAAGATGTGAGGCAAGTACTGAAATGGAGAAGAAAATCTCTTCACTGAAGGAGATAGGTTAAAGTTAAAGTCTTGGTGATAATAAATGTTGAATTATTCTACACAACTATCAGTATAAAAAATTACTAGTATTACTGTTTAGGAATTATAATATTTAAATTTTAATTTCCTAAATTTGAGGAGAAAATGCCCTTAAATGATGGTCCTTCCAAAGGGAAATCTGGTATGTGCTTAGAGAAATGATTCATTTGTTGTTGGCATCCTTAGTTTTAAAACTCCTCTTGCCCAAGTCAACTTTATTTTTTTTTTAATTAGAAATAAAATCCGTTTTCTGATTGTGGGGGAAAATATAAGCTTAAAAGCAGATGTTATCTTTCAATGAGTTATTTTAGTTGCGTCTATTTAAATCCTGGCAAATTAAGACATCCCTATTTCAAACTAAGTCACTTCCTAGACATCGGGAGTTAAAATAGCATATATGGAATGGCTTTAGAGCGATTATAAAAAAACCCAGATTGTTTTTCCTGAATTGCCACTAGCAGTTAGAAGGTAAGAAAGTTAGTAATAATAGTAACCGTATCCGTAAGTGGAAGAGAACTCCAAGTTTAAAAGTATTTCATAAAACTATTAAGAACTATTTCCTAACTCACTTGTATAATTTAATAGCATAAAATTATAAATTACAATATGATTCTAAACAGTACACGTGTGAGGGCCCTTTTTATGAAATCTTGTGGCCCAGTGAGTGTTCACCTTCCATCGTGACGTGCTGACCAAAACACAGGCCAGGGACCTGCAGAGAGACGACTCTTGTTTCTAAACAGTTATTTACAAGAGCAGTATTTATTAATAAACTAAATTATAAGTAATATTTTACATACTTATTCTTTGGCAGTGATATTATAATGAGCAGGGAAGTAGGAAGTCCAAAATCTCAAATAACTCTGTGTTCTGCCCCCACCCTCATTATGGTATTTTTCAGAAGTTAGTACGAGAAGCTTTTTTTTGAGCATCTGCCTGAAAACAAGATTAATCAGGTCATACAACACAGTTCAGTGTATTCATCATCTACAGTATTTTTAGATTTGACCTGTAATATGTATACATTTTTATCAGATCTTTAAATAGTTAATATTTCATTTCAGTTCACATAGAGGTTTGGAAACGGTCGGACCTGCTAGTATTTGAGAGTCTGTTAAGTAAGGAGGTGCTCTGGAGTCTGAGGACTTGAGTTTAAATCCCAGGTCTGCAAGTTCAGCACTGTAATCTTGGACCCTAACTTCCCCATCCATAAAATCAGGGAGGGAGGGCTAACTCCTGAGGTTATTCAAGGATGAAATGAGATAATGCATATAAAGCACTTGACATAGTACTTGAAATACAGTAAATTCCTAATTATAATTTCTGTCCTAACCATCATAAAATGATTGTTATTAAAATCTCTCTTCTGTAATAGAGATCCCACAGGGGTTAAGCTCGGGGACGATGACGGCAATAGTGTACTTTCTGAACCTTCCAGTAAGAATACAGAGTAACCAGGGTAGCCCCAGACCCTGTTCTACAAAACTAGATGACCGTTGTCCTCATGAACTTCAAAGTGCAAGTAAGGAAGGAAGGAAGACGACTGGCCGACGTAGTTTCAGCATCTGTGGGAACGGGGAGAGCAGGCAGCTGTGTTTCTGACAGCCCCCCGTTTCTCAGCCGCCTGGCAGGGGGCCAGTCAACAGAAGCTGCAACTGTGCAGGCTTCGACAGGTTCCATTTGCAGGTGAGTGTCACAGCAATGCACCAAGATCTGCCGAGTGTGCTAACGTAGTCTGGGCCCAGTGCTGTATGTGTCCAGAGCCCAGCACTGAGGAGAAACTGCTAGAATTAGGATTACAGCTTGACAGGACAGGTATGGTAGGGCAAAGAGAAGAGAAAGTCCAGGTAAAGGCTGGGAAGGAAGGTCAGTAGTGATGTCCTGTCAACCACTGTCAAAATGAAAATGGAGCTTTAGGGCAGTGGAGCTAAAAAAAGTCATCATAGAACACGCCCCTCCTAAAAAAGTACAGGAAAACGCTCTTCCAAAGAAAAAAACAAAACAAAACTGTGAGAAGGATTACAATCAAATCTCATTGAGAAGTTAGAAGAATTAAGAGAAGCAGCAAGCCAGCATCCCCAAAGATGGTGAGAGCACACCAGAAAGATACGACCACAAGACTGATGAAGGCCTCAATATTTTTTTAAAAAACAGTTATGACAGGAAATTTATAGTATTTAGAACTGTATCATTAAAAATGGGAGAAGCTGAAAATTATACAACCAAGCCTTAAAAACTGGAGGAAAAAAGCAAACCAGAAGAAAACTGAAGGAAGGAATTCGTAAAAAGGGAGAGCGGGAGGGAACTTAAATACACAAACCACCAGCGAACCCCTTCCAAGAAAAAAGGGAGGACGCAGAAATACACATTGAAATGACAACTGGAGAAATAACCACAAAACAGGAAATTTTTCAAAATTATAAGACTAATTTTATATAATTAGAAATATGCAGATTTCCAGGATTTACCCTCATAGACACAGAAATTTAGAACAAACCAGTTACCATAGAAGAAACTAATAAAGGACTTCTTACCAAAAAAGTGTCAGGCCTTGATGATTTCAGGGGATTTCTGCTAAACCTTTAAGATTAAATAATCCCAAAGTTGATACAATTCCAGAAGCTAGAAAAAGAATCCTGAACCTCAAAGTGCCAAAAAAAATTTTTTTAAGACTTCTGAATTGATTTTATAAAGTGAATACATTAGCATTTCCAAAACTGAAAAAAAAGATTGTAGCAAAGAGAAAATTATAGACCACTCACAAATATCAATGCAAAAACCTTAACAGTGTATTAGCAAACACTCCCAACAGCACTTTAAAAAGGTAATAAATCATGACAAAGTTGGGTTTATTATAGGAATGCAAGGATAATTCTATCGTTGACAATCCATCATATTAAAAGAGTTAAGGAGAAACTCATTCCATTTTTCAGAAAAGACATTTGATGGAATTGAGCATTCAGTTCATGCTGAATGTACTCGGAAAACAGAAACTGATGAGTAATTCATTCACATTGTACCTCTGCCCAAACGCCAGCATCTTAATGTCAAAACAAAAGAGGCTTCCACAAAGTGAAACAAGACATGCCCCTATCTCTCTCTACCACTTACATTGTGTTGGTTTTAGCCAATGCAGTTTGACAAAACAAAGCCATGTGAATTTCATGGACAGGAGGAGGTTATTTGCAGATACGCATTTACATCTGGAAAACCCGAAGAAATTTGTTGAAAAACTGTAAGAGAACTTACTAAAGTAGCAATTACAAATCTGCATTCAAATATCATACTTGGATATAAGTTTCAGCACTCAGCAGGCATAAAGGAGTGTATATAACTCTGATTCCATTTAAATGAAGTTCAGAACAGGCAAACTTCATAGGTGTCAAAAATCAGCATCCCCTTTCAGTCACTACCCCCTCCACAAAGGTAAGCACTATCATGACTAAATCACCATCGTTTTGTCTGTTTTTAAACTTTATATAAGTGGAATCATGTACGGTATTTTTCATCTGGCTTCTTTAGCTCAACAAGCCCGGGAAGAGTGCAAGGCAGCTTCCGTGGTGCTGGTTACATCGGTGCCTTCATTCTATGACTACTTACCAAGCTGTATACTTGCCGGTTTGTGCACTTTTCTGTATGTATAATCACAGTTCAATAAAAATGTTTACTAAAAAGGATAAAAGACTTTATAAATATACAAACCTAGTTAGAAGGTGCCGTTGAAGAGAAGACCCCTTTTGTGATTACAAAAAGAAACTTATGTGTAAACCTTTTTTAAAGTTTATTTTCAATCTCTACGCCCAACGTGGGGCTCAAACTCACGAACCCGAGGTCAGCAGTCACACGTTCTCCCAACTGAGCCAGCCAGGTGCCCCTATGAGGAAAACTAAAAAATACACTTTTGATCGAAAATTAGACTTCAACAATTTAAAAAGATGTATCCTATTCTTAAGAAGACTCAACATGAAAACATGTTTTTCTCCCAATAAAAATGATCATGTTTGCTTCTGTTTGAGAGAACATCCCAGAAAAGCTATGGAAACTGAAAAAAAAGAGAGGGACTAGCCCTAGCAGACATTAAAACACACTCTTATTAAATCCTCCATAATTAAAAGTTTGGTATTGGCACATGAATAGGCAGGACAGAGGAGAAATTCCAGGAATAGACCCAATGGTAGTCATACTGTAAAGGCAGCGTCTCAATTCAATGAGAAGGTGAAATTTTTTTCTTATTTTTTAAAAGATTTTATTTTTAAGTAATCTCTACACCCAATGTGGGGCTCAAACTCAAAACCCCAAGATCAAGAGTCGCACGCTCTACCCACTAAGCCAGCCGGGCACCCCGAGAAGATAAATTTTAAAATAAATGGTATGGGACTGACCAGTGATTGATTACTTGGATATCTACATATATTGTTAAAGAATTTATAGCTTCTTTCATTTCGAACTTTTTTTTCTTTGTTACAATGAACATTTATTCTTTTAATTTAAAAAATACGAAAAACAGTGGTAGTCCTCACCCCACCCCACCCCCATCCTATAATTCCTGAAGTTAATAATCACCACTGTTGTGTAAATCCTCAATCCTTTCATCTCTCTCCATACACATGTATGTTTATGTATCTGTATATTTAAGCACTGGTCATTCCAACACTACATACATACTTACAGAGTTACATATGGATCGACATATAAACATGAGGTATGTATTGGGTATTGCAACTTATTTCCATTCAGTGATACATTATAAATGTCTTTCAATATCCATGCTTTGTTTTCAGCGGTGGTGAATTAGTAGTAGTATTGGTATTATTAGCATTATGTGGCATAAATGTATCATGATTAGTATCTTATTTCTCACAATTACAAAAATATTGTTGCAAAATCCTTGAAATGTATCATCGCCTACTTGGGTGACTCTTGAAGCTAAATTTATGAATGTGGAATGGCTGGGGCAGAGTATGCACATTTTAAATTCTGATAGCTTTTCCGAAAAAGACATGTTTTTCAAAGATTGTGCTGGGACATGCTTCTACCTTGACACTGAGAATTTAAATATCAGAAAATAATCTTCTGATAATAAAATACCTCTCGTAATTCAGAACTGTGGCATTGGAGAAGACCTTAGTGGCTTCATTCCTCACCCTCATTTTACAAACTATAAATCTGAGGCCCCAGATGAAAGATCTCATGCAAGATCATATACATACTATATTCTTAGATAGGAATGTATCTATCTCTAGAACATATCCTATATCCACATATAAATAGAGACATGTAAGA